TGTGACCTCATATGAGGACATTATATTTTGGTGTATTTCTCTGAGACTATACATGCCACAGTTGTAAGTCTGGATGTCCTGTACAGAGCACATTCAGGGCTTTTCAGAGATACCAAATGTTTGGATGTTTCACTATGACCACTCCCTCTCCTTGGTCTTCAAATATGTCTGATATTAATTTAGTGACACTCTTATGGAAATATGATAATATTTTGTAATTATCATTTAAATCTGTCTCATTTTTAAACTGTCTGTCATAAATCAACATCTCAGGAAAATGTTAATGGGGTTTCAAATCAAAATATGACTTCCTCTTATGAAACAGAACATCATTTCATACTTGTCCACTGAAGAGGACACCTAAAAGCATGTTTATTACACATTTTGGGAGACAAAACAATTGAATAGGAAAACAAAATATATATCAATATTCTTATGAAATATTAGATGTAGGGCTGCACGATAAATCGCATGCGATATTTAATGCGCATCTTGTTAGTAAAGTCGGTTCTGTAATTAGCGTGCTTTCACATGGAGCAGCATTGACTACACAGAGCCGTTGTTCACTGACGAGCTGCGCTAAACCACGTTCATATTCGCGCGATTTTTTGCGCTGCTCATCAGTGAACAACGGCTCTGTGTAGTTAATGCTGCTCAATGTGAAAGCACGCAGGTGATGGAGATTTACCGCTGATTACAGAACCGGCTTTACTGATAAGATGCGCGTTAAATATCGCATGCGATTAATCGTGCAGCCCTAGTAGTCAGTATGCAGTGCAGTTTTATTTTAGTATCGAGATAGTATACATTTTTATTAATACTCTGAATTAGTTTGTATTTTTATGTTTTCTGTTTTCTTTTTAATTTGATTTAATTTTAGTAATTTCATTGTGCTTTTTGTCATTGTTCTTTTTTTTTTAATTCTATACAGATTTTATTCATTTTAATTTCAAACTAAAATAAGTTTTAGTTATTTCAGTATAGCACGTTAAACTAAATGACAATGAGATGCTGCCTTGGCAACTAGCTGAAATAAAATAAGTTTAAGTTTTTTTAATATTTATTTCAGTTGATGTGTTTTATGAGAATGTTTTTTTAATGGTTTTAGTTTTAGTGAACTATAACCCCAAGCAATGACGTGCGATGATGGCAGTGTTATTTTAGTACAATTGATATACTATTATAGTTTTTGTTAATATTTTAAATTAGATTTCATTTTTATATATTCTGTTTTAACGTTTTAGTAATTTTGTTGTTTTTGTCATTTGTATTATTTTTTGTTTTAAATGTGTATAAAATGTTTAATGAAGTCTTAGTTTATTTAATTTCAGTGATTTTAATACTTAATGAAGACAAGAAATGTTGCCTTGGCAACTAGCTGAAATAAAATCCACATTATAATGATTTTTGGTGGTCTTAGTTATGTTAGTAACCCGGGCTGCCGGTGGTCTTGCAGAGATTCTGGTTCTGGGGACGGGGGCTCGTACGGAGCGTCTGGATCCAAACGTGCTGGACTTCCTGAAGAAGAAGGGCATCGCTGTGGAGGTTCAGGACACGGTAAACACATCTCTGCGCTCGTCTGGAATAAACCCACACGTTACAGCAGTTTAATAGTGAAACGTTTCTCCTCGCAGCCTAACGCATGTGCGACGTTCAACTTCCTGTCCAGCGAGAGACGGTTAGCCGCGGCAGGCCTGATCCCTCCTCCTGCGGCCGAATAACAGAGAACAGGACTCTGGGAAGCCATGTTTTCTCAGTACAGTGTGTCACGTGATCTCTGACTGTAGTGTGTGTGAGTGGAGAGTGAATAAACACAGATTAGAGGTATTAACACACATCTGTCTGGATCTCTCTGTCCTCTGCGCTCATGTGTGATCAGACACAAACACACACTCCTCATTGCGTGCACGTCTTTATTAGCGCCACATACACAGCACTATCATCTAGCACACAATCATCACACAACACAAGACTGCCAGTGCAAATCCCATTCTTCTGCTCTTTGGAATCAGATCATATTTAGCAAGCATCAACAACAACAACTAAATCGGTAACACTTTATTTCGATAGTCCACTTTAGACATTCTACTAACTGTAAGTAACTTTGCAACTACATGTCAACTAGCAGTCGTTAGAGTATTAGTAGACTGTCTGCTTGATATCTTCTAACACTTTATTTGGATGGATCCACAACATACTGACTACGAGAAACTTTGTCATGTTTGCTGCTCACTTCTCCATGATGGGCTCCAGCAGGGCCAGGCCGGGCTGGACCTCCTTCTCCGGGTTGCAGGTTTCCACCATCGTGCTGACCACATCAATGTACTTGCCTTCCGCTGCCACATTACGAGTGAAGGACAGCAAACACACGTAGATATCTGCACACAAACACCAGAACAGGGCCCTCAAAAGCCAGACAAGTTACACCTGAAGCTGAACGCATGTGCTTGATGCACGAAAACAAACTTTGGTTCTTGCACGTGCATTTGAGCTTCTGTTGCCATGCCATATTTAATGTGCATAGGATGAAAGAAGAACATGCAGAAATGTAACGAGTATTTCCCACCTGACTTCCTGTTGAGGACAATCTGGCAGGAGTTGGCATCGTGGGTGTTTTTGACGGGGTGGTTGAGTAAGCGGAAGACCTTCATCGGGACGAGAACGCAGTCAGATCATGGTCATCGGGGTCGTGTGAAGATGAAGCTGTGTTTGTGCTCACCTCGCCCTCGGATCGCACCGCCGCCACTCGCCTGTCCTCCATCAGGATTTCAGTTCAGCAGGTAGCTGTTCCCGTAGACAGCGCTGAGCCTGCGGAGCGACACACATGAGGTCATGGTCATCAGACACGGCTGCTCCAGATAACTGACCAACACACACACACACACACACACAAACACCTCTCACCGTTTGCGAGCAGGAACTTGGGAATCAGATCCACATTCCAGTCTTTCCCACATCCCATCGATTTAGCAGGAGCAGAGACCTGGAACCTCTTATAAAGCTGTTCAGAAGAACAAATGTTAACATGTTTGTGTGTGTGTGAGTGAGTGAGTGAGTGTGTGTGTGT